AACATTGGAATAGGGCTGGCAGCCAAACGATCTCTTACGAATTTCATCCGGGAGGTTTGTGGAAAAAAGAAAGTGGCATTATCCCGTAACATTGAAATTCTCATAACTCATCTGGGCACAGATCAAGCATAGTAGTTGCAATGGGCTAAATCCCAACTATATTCCAATCGGACGTGAACGTCAGCGAAAATATTCCAGTGAGTAAATGGTTATCATAAGTGCCAGTCAGACCTCGGGTACGTTGTGATTCTAACACGTCTGTACTGAACGTTACCTCACATTTTGTAACCTGAGTCCTTCCGTGCTGTAGGACCTCACACGTTAAAGGAAGCACTCAGAAAGGAAAATACGAAACTGAGGGAACTGCATTGGCGAAACACCAGAGGTCACCATCAAGCTAAGAGCTTGCTAGGTGTTACAATCTAAAGAGCTACAGGCTTCTCATAAACAGGTATTTTAACGGATCGTTGTGGGCTAAGAGGCCACTTGCATAACCTAGTGAGCTGGTCAAGTGATCTATGTCGCTTTCGTGACTCCTGGGGTGCGAGACCGTTTCACGGAGAATGGAGAGGTGCATAGAACATCTGTGGTCACGAGAAGAGTACAAACACTCCCTACCCCGGTGATCTATTCTAAAATATATAGAGCTTTTAAGGCTATATACAGTGTTGTGATAAGATGAATGCACAATATGCCTAGTAGTAGCTTACTCCATTTATATCTATTTATCTATCCATCTACCTAAACACCGAGTATACAGCAGAAGAGAAAAAAAAGTGATTCATTCGAGTCGGATCGTATGGAATCTTACCTAGAACCTATCTAGCGACTAGAAACAGTCTTTATTTGCACATAAAATATTCAGGTATTTATACAGAAAAAAAATTCTTCTACTCGCTTCATCAAAAGGTATTTCAGTCCAACTGAGCGTAGTCGAAATTTATATGGCTTTAATTTTTAACAAACAAAGGAATACACATTCAAAACTAGGGAATCCCACGCAATTAAGCAATAGGAAAAAACCGATCAACTCATCTTGTTTATAATTTTAATGTGAGCCAATTTTTACAAATGCTTTGAACCAAAAAAGGCGATACTTAATGTCAGCTTAACTGACTTTTGGAATTATAATTACGCATAGCATTCCGGCTGCAGTGACTCACAATAAATTCTTAACTGTTCACGGCTGCACACACACAGAATTGTAATAAACCAAACATGTAAATAGATATATTTTTTACATATCCAGCGGCGTCTGCGCAGCCATTGAACTCTCAACACTACGGCTAGCAGTTTAAGTGGGTATCATTGTTGTGATGGGAATTGCCTAGCTATGAGCGCTGATTTTTAACAAATATGTACATATCACTATTCAGTATGGGCTTGAGGATGTATGCGCGAACATCCGGAAACGGGCTTTGGTAGCAGCCATGATAAAAACATAGCAAGGTATAACCGTTCTCTCAATTTGTCGGCCATGATTTTTTTTTGAAGTTTGCCAACATTTTAAAATCATATAAATGTGAAAATAAAAAAATGAAATTGTTCGAAATTGTTGTTGCTTGAGATTGAAAATGAAAATGTGTGTGTGAGTTTGTGAGTAAATTTAAAAATTAAATTGCTTGGAAACGTCAAGAATTTTAAAAGTGACTCTCAGCGGTTCTACCTTACTATATTTTTATCATGGTAGCAGCTGTCCGATGAGTTTATGGGTAACAGCTGAAGTATTTACTGTCAGTTTCCGATATCCGTCTACGTACAAATAACAAGCACTTGCTGCTGACAAGTGTAGTTTCCAATATTGACGGATATTGGTAATTTATAGAATACATTATTATGCTTGTAGCCGTTAAGTAACTTTGCTAAATTTTTTATTTATTTTTTATTCCATTTTCCTATCTTTTTTCTTTTTGATTCTTCGACACTTCAGCAGCGCTTGCGAATGCTATAAATTTTAATGCCAGTCAATTGCGACAAATCTGGCGTGACTGAAGTGACGGCTTAGATGGATAAAAAAATAAAATAAAATAAAATTATAATAGTCGTTTTATAGCGCTCAATTTATGGCTTGCGAAACAATTTAAGTTGCTAAATTTAGCACTTAAGCGCGCAAAGTATTTTTTTCTTCGCCGTTCTCTCGTGCCAATCAGTCTAATTTATTTGGCATTCATTTTTTAACACGCACGATTTGTTACGCGCGGCGACAATTTATTGATTAATGATTAATTATAGCGTAAAGTAGCGCATTTTATTTTCAAAATTTCGTTCTTTTTTCTTTACCTTTTATAACACCTTTTTATCTTATATTTTTTTTTTGCAGGACGACGACATGGGTTTCAGTTCGCGTATGGATTGCTGCGGGCAATTCGTCAAGTACAGTCTTTTCATATCGAATTTCATAATATTTGTGAGTAGAAATGAAACTTAATAACTAAAATTTCTTATTGCTCGCATCTCTATTGTGACCTTAATTAAAGAAACCTTCAATCTTGAAATTATATCACATTTAATTTACTTAACTTTTTGTAGTAATTTTAATTCTTTCTTTTGGTTTTCAGATTGGCGGCGCCACTGTTTTCACACTCACACTATGGACCCTCGTCGATCGTAGTTTCATGAACGAATTGTTGGGTACAAATCTCTTCTCGGGTGCAGTTTACGTTTTATTGGTTACTTCTGTAGCGATTTGTTTACTCTCGTTTTTGGGTTGTGTGGGCGCGGGCAAAGAAGTGAAATGTCTGCTGTTAACGGTAAGTTCGAATGATATATGCATATAAATTAAGCATAGCTAAAGTCGAAAATAAACAAGTGAGATTTTTGGTCCGTTTCTATTAAAAAAATTAAAAGTACCCATATTTCGCGCTCCCACATTTTGTAAGCATTTTGTCGAATTTCCCATCCATTTTGTGTGGTCTCAAGCAAATGAAGGAACCTACAGCTTTATACTGTAACTGTCTTTTTTATGTTTGTGAATTTTGTTTACTTGAGCTGGCTTGGCCAAGTCGTTTGAATGGGCACCGATGCTCCCGCTCTTAAAGTATTCAACTCAGAACCACTGCGATGGAAAGTTCAAGTGGAGAGGAACTTGGCTTCATGTGGCGTTTCTAATTGGATGACCATTTGCCGCTTCACACATTTTACGCAGAGTGATTGTTCGTGCTTCTCCTCCCATCTGGGGTGTGCGCTTTCATGTCGTAAATCAAATGGAGGAACCGCACGGCAGATGGTTTTCTGTGAGAAGTTTTCACAGCAAAAATACATTAAGAGGAAAGCAAGCCTGCCGACCGGTATTTAAAAAAAAAAAGACTTTGTTTAGATGGTCGAACTAGGAATCGAGCCTGGATTATACAATGTGGCAGTGCGCATGAAATTGGTATCGATAGCTATGAACTTTTCCCTCTTTTCAGCCAATCCATGGCTACTGCGCTAATAAAACTGCTTGTCTTTGTAGACCAATCGACCAGAACAAATGGTAATCTCGACTAGAACAAATGGTAATCTGATGATGTAAGTTCTGAGCTAAATATAAGGCGTATACAAACGTTGATGGCCTTCCTGCGCGCTCCTTGTTGTTTATGTGAAAATCACCATTTTTGAAATCTCAAAACCAGTCCTCAAGGTTTTACTTGATGGAGCTGGCTCTCCGTAAGCTTCCCACAGCAGCCGATGACTTCCTGCTGCACTTTTCTTCAGATGGAAGCAACATATCAATGCTTCCCGCGAATGGCGTTTTGTAGGCACACACGCTTTTTTATGAATCCAGGGATCGCAACCAGGTCCTACGGAGTGGTAGTGTGGACCTCTAACTACTCGGTCACAGGCCGGTTTAGCAATCTAAAAAGTACTTGTTGAATAATTGGTTCCGCTTTCTGGCTACGGCGGGCAGTGGCAGAGATAAAAATCGATGCTCTCCACCTCTCCCTCGTCCCTGCAGCTACGGCAAAAATCATTGGTTGGCTATCCCAACTTTTTTCAATGCGTGCCCCTTAGGCAGTGTCCGGTGAGTACCCTGACTGCTAATCTGAGAGAAGAGCGGTGGAGCCGAGTGGAGCTACCGATGGCTTACATCAATTTGCCTGATATGTAGGATGGCAGGTGGTTTTCGCAGCCCACCTAGCATTCAGCTTCTCTATGAATTGATCCTTTAATCTGTATTTTCCAGGAGTTACAGGTATGCCTGCATCAGGAGCATACATCGGATATTTCCATCCCTGTTCTTGCCAGCTTGTCGGCTATGCAGTTGTCAAGAATGTCTCTGTGTCCAGTGAACCATACAATAGTCAAAGAGCATTTTGATGACAGCAAGTTGAGAGTCCATCTGCGTTCTTTGTTTAATATGGACGTTGGTCAGTTAGAGTTTAGAGATTTAATAACAGCTTGGCTGCCAGAATAAGTATTGATAGACTATCCTGGACGGCGGGTGTTATGAGCACGGAAATTTTATAAATTTTGTACGGTTTGCATGTTCATTGATGATGTAGCTTCGAAAGAGATATTTAGTTCTTACCTAATCACACGATATTAAGTATAACTTTACAGCGAGACCGAATGAAGAAACCATTTTCGAATTGCAAAATCGAAACATGCCTGTAATATAAAAATCTTTCATTCTGTTATCCAAACACTAAAATAACCTGACTTTTCTTTTCTTTAAATTTCAGTATTTCATAATCGTTGCGCTGGTGTTTGTAACGATGCTAATCGGAGGCATACTGGGTTATGTCTTCAGAGAACGCGTACAGCAGACGATGCGACAGGTAAGTATCCCTGAATGAATTCATTTTTTTTGTTTACCTCATATTAATTAAAATTTCTACCTCAGGAAATGCGCGCCACCATGGCACTGTATGGAAGCCGTCGCGATGTCACCATGGCTTGGGATCAGACGCAAGAGCGCTTGCAATGCTGCGGTGTGGATACTTGGCACGATTGGAATCGTTATGGACCCGTACCGGAGTCGTGTTGTCAGGAATTATTTGGTGGACAACGCAAAGACTGTAGCATCTTTCCAACGATAACCAATCTCTATAGTCAGGGTTGTTTATATGTAACGACAAACTTCATACGCGATCATGCGGCGTTAATTGGTGGCACGGCAATAGCGGTGGCCATATTAATGGTAAGTAGTGTGGGTATTATTTAATTGAAGCAATTTAGCTGATCCTTTTTTTTTGATTTTTATTTACAGATATTTGGCATGATATTCTCATGTCTGCTATTTAATATGATTGAATAGGGAAAGGCGTTGGGAAGGCGTGAAAAAAATGATGTAGAAGAGGACAGAAATAATAGCAAGCACATAACTAAACTGATTAGCAATTTAAAGCGCTTACATACACACACGCACAAAAACACTTCAACACAGACACATACACCCAGCAGCGAAACTAATCGATGAGGCGTCACTGCAGAATGCATTGCATTTGCTGTTGGACACGCATGTCAAAATTCATACACAAAATACATACATACATACATACACTTGTACGAAATATGCGCAATCGCACAAGAAACCGTAAATTCGGAATTTTTTTAACAAAATTTGGCGCCTTTTACCTGCGACGCCTAAAATTATGCATCCACACAACTCTATAAATGTTTGCTTGTAAAAAGTATGAACGAAATATTTGTTTCTTGTTCCATTTACCGTTCAATTTCATTTAGTTTTTAGTTCTTTAAAAAATTCTATAAATTTCAAGGCATTGAATTTTGGATTTTTCATAATTTACGTTGATTGCCTGTTAAAATTTGCGATATATGTAAATAGCAACTGAAGCAAAAAGAAAGTATTATTTTCGAATTTGTAAGTGAATGTAAAAATATACACCCCGTGTCATAATTATAAGCGCACCACAAAATTACAAGTTTTAATAATTTGTTTTTTTGTTATATAATTTTTATGCTCTTTATATAAAAACATAGGTTATTCTTTAACAAAAACTGTTCAAAAAATGTTTGAAACATTGGTAAAATTTCAAGCTTTTTCATTCGATTCGGAGTATGCAGTTTTTTAGCTCATTCAATTTTAGTTAATAAAGTGGAAGTTAAAAGTAGTTGGCACTTACTGTTGATTTTAGAAATTTTTTGTCGGTGATGATGTCCGTAATTTTCTTCCATACGAAGCATGTTGAACGATATTTTTATATGAAAAAAAAAACAGCAATGCCTTCAATAAAAAAAAAATTCAATGATAAGTCCTATCTACTGCAAAAATCCACTTTATTGTACTAAAATTTATTTAGCTACAATGTTGCGTACCCAAAATCTTTCTAAGAAATCGAATTACTCAAAACCTTTCTAATTTAAAAGCTTGAAATTTTACCAAAGGGTGTTGATTTTGCTTACATATTACACAAAGTTTGTAACTTGGATATATACAGTTTTGTTAAAGAATAAAATATATTTTGTTAAAAAAAGTAAAATAAAATAACAAAAAAAAAAAATTCGTAAAACTTGTCCAATTGTAGTGCGTTTATAATTATGACACGGGGTGTATATATCAATGTATATGTACTTTAGTAACTCTTGGCATTGTTATTAGGCGTGCTGAATATGTAATTATTTTTATTTGTAGAAAACGTATATGTAAGTCCAAATGTACTTAAATTTAGGGGGTTCGTATGAGAAGTGTATAAATGATTTTTCAAAATGGAAAGGAATCACTTAATACCTTGAAATTGATTGAAAATGCAAAACAAAATGTTTTCAAAATTTGTTTCTAATTTCAAAAATCCGTTGTATACTTTTAGGCTGCAAAAATGTACAATGTAAAAGCAGCTACTCTGCGCTAAGCCCCATTCTGTGTAAGGTTTATTAGTTTGTTAAGTTTCAATATGCATAAATTTACATACTTTCATATTTTAGCTACTTAAAAAAAAAATAAAAATTTAAAGAAGTAGTATGTATAATAGGTACACATTAGGATGGTCCTTAAAATATCAACATTTAAATTTTGTATGGGGCATCTCTTTTTCTTTTTTCTACGTACAAAATAAAGATATTAACGAAAAATTAATTTTTTTTTTAATTTTTAGTTTTTGAAACCCTTGTTTTTTCTTTAAATCGCAAAAATTTCAAAAAGTTTGTTACTTTAAATGTGATATATGTATTTGACAAGTTACTGGAATTTACTCATATATTTTCATGGACTTGCTGAGTTATTTATAGTTGGTTTAATTAAAAATTTCGTCTAATTTTTGCATTTAAAAATTTAAAATTTTTTCAAACGCTGTTACGCGACCGCACTTTTTTATTTTGGTGAGGTGCCCCATGCTGTTGCTATTTTAAGGATCACCCTACTATACAACTATTACATATGCTATATAAACTCGTTAATAGTACAATTGAACAAAATTAGATTTCATTATATATAATATTTTTAGTACTTAAGCTTTATCAACTGGCGAATGTATTCCATCCAATTATACCCAATATGTAATAAATGTTTTTTCCATGATTAAAGACTTGAATGCCTAAAAAATATATATCTTAATTTAGCAGCAGTAATTCAAAAAATGTATTTTGAGCTTTTATTCTCTAATAATTAATCCGTCCTGTGTAATCTTACTTTTAAATCTTTAATATGTACTAGTAGCAATTACAAAGTTGGTTAATAAATAAAAGTCAAATAAATTATTGTTAAGCACAAGAATTATATATTATATGATTTGTTTCCTGCCCATTAATTAAGCAGCAAGATTGGACGGAAATCAATTTGATCAAGTATGTACATATATGAGAATTGAATGCGATATCAAATGCTTTGCTGAAATCAGTGTAAATGACACCTGTGCGATTGTTCAAGTTTGTGGTGAATTCACCCAATGAAACTTAAGGTTGGAAGCCAATTGGAGATGCAATAGGAAAATATTTCAATTTGCAATGTGGATTTTCAGATTTTACCACATTTGGCGAACCAACCCATTCTCAAACAAAATGACACAGTTTTCGTATGCAAAATAATCCGAGCGAAAAAAGCTTAGATGTAAATTTAAATTCAAATCTTGAAAAAAATTTCGGAGAAAAATGTTTTTTTAAGCCTTACATATTTCAATTAACTGATAAATTGAGTTGAGTTTTTGAACAGGTGGCAGCCCTCCTACATATAGTTTAGAAATAAAACCTTTTAATACAAAAAAAAAAAAAAAAATCGGTACTATTTTTCCATCATAAAACCGTGGGACAGTACATTTTATACACAACAAGTAAAAAAGTCTAAGTTCGGGCGGAGCTGAATAAGTATTAAATATATGAGGGATTCACAACGGTATTGTAAGTTTCGTATTGTTGAATGTCGTAAATTTCTTAATTTCTTAATGTATAAGGCCGATTAGGTATTCCAAATGTCTTATAAAAATTTTATTCTTGAATATCCTGGAAATTTTGGAATCATTATTTTTGAAAAAATTATATGTTAAGGACTAATATACACTCGATTGCATCCCAGAATTCGAGTCGTCCTTCTTATTTTATTACCTTAAAAAAGTAAAATTAATTATAAAGGCATTTTTAATACCTACTCGGCCGTGTGAGCCAAAAAATTAAAATTTTTTAAATTCTGCAGAATTTTCTCTTTCACTTGGTACCCATATTGTTATTCAACATTTTTTTTTAATAGTTTTTGGAATAAATTATATTTTTGAGGCTACAAATTCCTTGAAAAAAAGAATCCTGGCATAAGAGAGTAAAACCTAAAACGAAGTTTTACTATATTTGGCCCACAGTTTCTTGAGTATATTGAGTGCTTTGTATAATTTAAAATCTATTATATTTTAAGACCTACTGTTGGAAATCTTGAAATCTAATAAACTTCATACTGCCGGTTAGAAAACCGCGACCTTTTTATGTGGGCACTCTAATATATTTTATATAAAGAATTCCGCAAATATAAACACCAAGAAAAAACCGACTTAAAAAAATATCAGTTTTAATCAATTTAATCTTTATTTAATTTTTTTTTTGTGCTGAGGCACCCTAATATACATACATATATATAGATAAATACCAAATAAAAAATACATACTAAAAAAAGCTCTATTTAATGCGCGAAAATTGCCGCTCTAGGTAACAGCGAAAACGATCAACGTTAGGCACAAGATCATGGCATCTCGAAATACACATTTGAATAAAAACAACAAACAAAGACAGAACGAAAACTAAATTTCTGCGCCATTTAATTCGCTTAGCAAATCTAAAAGTTTTTGCTGATGCTTCGCTTTGGTCACGCCCAAGCGCTGAAAGTCCTCAGTGCGTATATTCAAGAACTGCTCCAAATCCAAATTTTGCTCCTCAAACGCCTCCACGTACTGCTCCAGGCCGACGCTGCGCAACAGAGTCGACACGTTCATGGTGCGATCGAGCAAATTCGTGTTGCTAAGATTTTTTGAAGCATTATTGCCGTTGTTGTTGTTGTTGTTGTTCGTGAATGTAGCATTGTTGCTGCTATTCAATTTATCCGAATCACTGCTGCTATTATTGCTGTTACTGCCACTGTTGTTGTTGTTGCCATAGCTCCCAAGTATTGCTGCGCTATCGGGACTTGCGATTTCAGTGCTGAAATCTGTATCCGAAATTGTGGTAGAATTTAAAGTGAAGATTGGCGGTGAGTCGCTTACAAAATGTGAACTGGAGAAGTTCTTCTGGCATGGTTGTTGTTGCTGCTGCTGCTGTTGGGTTTTATTTCTTAACTACATGTAGGAGGGTTGCCACCTGTTTAAAAAATAAAATTCGATATTTCATTTTCTATGCAATTAGGTAATTGAGATATATATCACAATTTGGGCGTTTCACGAAAGAAATTTAGAACATTCAGATTGTAATTAAATGATACACAAGTTTTATGAAATATTAAAAAGTTTGACACCGAAGGCGTGTTAAGAACTCTTTACTTTAAACATTAACAATATTTTTTAGGTGTTCAAAAGATTGCCACCTGTTTAAAAGATTAAATTCAAATTGTTTAATAAGTTAAATTATCAGAAAAAAGAAGGCTACCAATGGAATTGGGTTTGGTGTTGCCACATGTTTCAAAATTCAAATTTATCTGGAATTACGGCAATTAGTTAATTAAAAAATGTATGTATCAGAATATGGGTGCCGAATGAAAGAGGTTAAAGCAGGTTTTGGTTTGAAAATTTTGTAGAGACTACGTAACATACACCCCGATATATCAGGAAATATCAATGCTAGCGATTTCGTGTTCTAGAACCTTCTTGTAGGAAATTGAAAAGTTTGCCATTATAATTTTTTCTTTAGCTCTTGTTATTGATGAAAAAATTGGGTTTAGTGAACCGTACTACCTCGCTGATGGGAGTTAGGGTTACGCCGTAATGTACACTTTTGTAGAGCATTCAATTCAGAGGAAACCCTATCACTGACCAAGATTATACCATAAAATGCTCTGAGCTGTAGAATTTTGAAGAAAAAAATCAAAGTTAACGTGTATTTGCACGCATTGGTCGAGTACTGGAAATTTGTAATTCGAAACTATTTACGACGGTTACGTGAAAACTTGTAG